ACTGACATTAGTGACCTGTGTCAGTGACAGTGTCGCGGTGGATGTCGCTGCAGTGACAACTCCAGCAGTGACATCGACACCCGCTGAAGCTTAATGATGCTAATAAACATGCGTAAAATGATATTTAATCATTACATTGCTGTTAACATAATTTACAGCATCGCGAGTTAGTTTATATGATGGGCTTTTCCATGTATTTTAAATTATTAAATTATTATTATTATAAGAATATATTTCATATTCTTAGTTCTACTTCAGTTATTGTATGTATTGTATCGCGGTGGTTCTTTGTTGGCTACAATATGGACTTTTCTATGATTATTTATTTCAGAGTCCCACGGATTTTGCTCAGCCTCATAGCATCTCATACATGGCCATCTACTTATTGAATGAATCTATTAAAAAAATGTTGGCCGAATTATGCATTATAGTATTAAATCATAGATAGAAATAGATGAACCGAGACTGCAGTCCGATCATGAAGAAGATCAACGTTGATCTTTCTTTTAAGGTGTCATTGCAGGAATGAATTTATTAGATATTATAAGACTAAAATAAAGAAAAAATATCAGATGGTAATTTCTGTCATTTTTGCTAATGAGTAAACAGCTCTAGTTAATTTTTCACCATGATTTCGATATGAAACCGCCCTACTCATAGTTCTCTCTTAATATAGCCATATATGCCTGTTACATAACATAATACACTGTGGTATAGCCTGGTTCGTTAGTTGGTTGCATCATATTGCTTTCTCAACACAATCAATCAGCAACAGAGTTCGTTTTTATAGAGCCGAGACCACCTGATTCAGGCGATCTCGGACCGTTTGCGAGGATCGGAGCGAGATTGCTGAATTCATATATGCCAAATGGACCACGCTAACTAGGCAAACGAGTCAGGTTTCGAAACAGACATCTATTTGTGAAAGCACCCTTACATTAATTAAATTTTTTTTACAGTTACTTGAATACTGCAAAATACAGTGCAGACTGTATTTATATTACAGTTTAGAGTAAAACAATAGACTTTTAGGTTTATCTGAATAATTGCTGCATTTTCCTTTACACATCTGAAGAGTTAAATGACTTATATCAGTCAATTCAATTAAGCCAATTAACGTCAAACAAGCAAAATACACAAAACTTATAGTCAGTTGTATTTCTCTTAGGGTTTCCCTGCTTCAGGCGCCCCTTTAAGATGAGACCCTTCTGGTTTCTTCCCATTTTTCATCTCTCATCCTCTCACGCTCTCGCTTTAATACGATTTCCCTGCCTCTACCGTTGCAATGAAACACAATTATCCTACGTAGGAAGGTTTAATGATGAGAAAAGGCACACTTAAGTGCCTACGCGTAAGACTACATGGAGCTAATCACAAATTACACTGTTTGGAATAACTGGAGGATGAGAGAGAGTTTGGAGATTATTACACGGCCTCGATTTGTGTACGAGAGCAGCCTGATTGTACTTCGGTTATGACACAAGCTCTGGCAGAGGCTGCTGGGATTGATCTGAGTGGGTGCGGATTCGAAGCACAACAGGCAGAGTCATTTCCACATGGCAATTAAAAGCAAACGGAGGGCCACAGACAAAAGACCACACGTATGAGATGGAAAAAAGGCGAAGTTTCGACAGCTTCCCACTCATGCACTGCAGACCTCGCGTCAAAAGCAGACAGCGAACAAAACTTTAAAAGAATGCACAAAACAATACAGGACTTTCTGGTCGGTAGCAATGTGATAATATCATGGTTTCTTTTAAATGCACCGTGATAATATCATGGTTTCACTGAAAGGTCAATATCATGGTAGCTATATGAATATGGTAATCATTTAATATCATGCCATAAAGTGGAGTCCAAAAGTCTTTCGGTTTACAGTTTTAAATGCTTTTTGCAAACTTTTGTAAAAAAAAAAAAAAAAATGTTGTTGAATGTTTTAAAGTTGTGAATTGATTTGATTATGATTTAGAGGCTGATGGTTTGATTATATATGATTATTTTTTCTCAAATTCTTTTATTAACACATTAGCATTCCTGTATTTCTGTACCTAAGCACTCAGGCAGCACACTGCTACACACATTATATGAATAATAAATTGTTTACTAGCTACTACAGTATAAATAAACACACAAACAATATTCCATCTATTCAACAGCAGCGTTTAAGTAATATATAATAAAGTAATTGAATAATCGATTGAAATCTGTTGTATTTTGATTATCATTAATGACACAGATTAATGCAGCATGTTAATTACTTTAAGACCTAATGAGAGGATCTAATTTAATGTTACACATCAGATCCTCTCCCTCAACTGCTTTCATTCCAAATGACATATTGAAGAAAGTTATATTGCATGTATCTTTTGGAAGGACAACAACATAATAAAAACAAATACTGTTTATTCCACAGTTCTAACACAATATATGTACTTGCTATATTAATACAAATATGCATAATTCAAACTTTATTTCCACTATAACGATGACTGTGTTAAATAGGGCTGGGTAAATTGGCCTAAACTCTAAAACCTCAATTAGTTGAATATTTTAACTCGATTTTGATTAATGAACAATTATTTTATCTATTTATTTAACATGTTTTGGAGTATACAGTAAATATGCTCATATTACAAGTGAGAGATTTTTGAGTGTGTACTTTTTTAAAATAATTGAGGGAAACACACACTATGTGCTATGATTGTTTATTAAACATCAACGTTGAACAACTGGAATTAAAACACACATTGACTAAAATGAACAGTCATTGTTTTCTTATAAAAAAGAAGATAAATAACTTGCACTTTTTTTGAAACAAAAATAATTATTTTCAATGTTCAATTTTTATATTAATAGTAGAAAATAAGGAGTATTTCTTCTAATTAAAATAACTCTTTTAAAATAACTATTTTGGTTGTCGCTTATATCTGTGAACTTACATGGTAACTAGATGTGTAAGTAGTATGTACAGCAACACATCTGTAACAAGAATTATATAAGTGCATTGTGAAACAAAAAATACTTGGCTGTGTTTTTCACTTTCACACCTGTTTGCATACAATGTACTTCTGAACACTCTATTAGAATGGCAGAACTAACGCTGCATTAGAAGGTTTCACCTTGTGATACCAGTGTAATTACAGGGTAAATCATCAGGAACTGTCCACTCAATATAAAGTGTAAACTGGTCACAAATAATGTATAATGTGTAATATATAATACCTAAGCCTTTGTGTAACTGTTTAGCAACAGCAAACTTCTGCCAAAAAAGTGTAAGTGTATATAGAAATATACAAATGCCTTATGTTTATATGTTGTTTTAAGGTTAACTGTAGAATCACATCAGTAATTCAATAAAGGGGTAGTTTACAAAAGTTAATGTTATTAATGTCCAGTTACAGATTTGAACTTACACATACTATTCAGTGGGTTGTTACGTGTGACGTTACATCTGTAATACACAAGTAAACACTATGTAATAATGTGTACATACACTGAAGCTATATACTACTTACATATCTAGTTACCATGTAAGTTCACAGGTATAAGCAACAATATAAAGTGGGACCAATATTTTAAACAGCACATTTCTTGAATCTTCTGTAAACAGATCTTTTAATAATACTATAATAATTTTATTCTAATGGAAAATATGCCGCTTCCGGCGCAGCTTCCAATCATCGTCATTAAAGTGCAAAATTGCAACGTGTAGTTCATGGGTATAGGCATGAAGGCTGCGGCAGATCATACCTGTGCATTCGATGCAGAAGTATAAAGTGGCCTTAACAGAGCAGGGTCACGTGACTCCACATGTGGTAGGGAAAGTAGTTGAAAAAATTGTCCTGTATTAGATCGATCATAGGTTCTGAATGTCGACTGCTTTCCGATTAATCACCCAGCTCTAGTGTAAAATCGATATAAGCTGCTTTTTTAATTACACTTGAGACTATCATCATTAGAATTCAAATGTTTCTTTGGAGCAGTACTTTTTTCTCAAATATTAAAGCACATATAAAGCATCTTGCAACTAATAAAGTACTAAGGCAATTAATGTCAAGAAGTGAAATATTTGCAAGGCAAATTTGACACAATGCATAGTCTAGTTTGAGTTTTTCTCTTTTACATAGCACTCAAGAGCACATGAACAACACAAGCTTGAATAAAACCTTATGATCACAAGCCTTCCAGCCAGGCTTGATGATGCAAAGAACGTCTTATCATCTGTACAAGAGTCACATGCCTAGTGTACATTTATTCGATTAGTAACCTAGAAAAAGTATAGAATCAGAATTTGAATACACTACCGGTCAGTTTGGGGTCAGTTTTTTTATCATTATAAACATTTTTAAACAAAATTATTCAGTTCATCAAGGTGGCAATTAAAATTGTTAAATATTTATAAAAATTTTAAATAACTGCTTTATTATTATGTAGTTTCAAATGAAATGAATAATCCATTATTAACTTTTTTATTATTATCATTATAATAATTATTATTAATGATAATAATAAAAATAATAATAATAATAATGCTATAAATAATAATAATAATAATAATAATAATAATAATAATAATAAATATTAAAGTGATTTCTGAATGATCATGTGATTGGAGTAATGAAGCAAAAAATAAATTTTTTAAATAACTGTAATAAATTAATAAATTAATTTATGAACTACTTTTGCCACTTTATAGTGCAAAAACATTTCACAATTGTACAATTTGTACTTTATTCTTGATTAAATAAATGCAGCCTTATATAAAAGCTTATTTTAAAACATTTAAAAATCCTACTGACCTCAAACTTTTAACCGGTAGTGTAAATATATTTTAAATTTGGAAATAAAAACTTCTAAAATTTTAGTACTTTTGGGCTCCACTGTATATTATGCTGCCATCATATTACTTTTTGGCAAGGGTTGGAACAGCTAGTTCTTGTAAATTGGGATGATGTTTGTGGCCTTTATCAGGCAGAATATGCATAAGTTTGTTCTCCTACCGGCGCCTCTCCTCTGACAGGGTCTTTGCCGTTAATGCTAATCTCTCCTTTTCTGCTGGCCCGTTCCAAATTCACCGTGTTCCACTCGTTCAGCTTGATTTTTTCTTTACTCCTGTCATGCACACGCACAAAGAGAAGGAAAGAAATGTTTATTTTGGCCCTCATAACAGAGATATGAGAATAAACACAATAGCTAGAGTTAGATAATGGAACTTGCAAGCGAACAGAATGCAGCTGAGTAATCTGAGTTTCTTATGAAAATGACTTGAAAATGGCATGTTGTTTACCTAATGACAGCTGGCCCTTTGCCCAGGTCATATCTAAACTCCAGGATGCCGTCATTAAGAGAGAGCGAGATGAAATCCCCTTTGCCGTCTGTCTTCTGACCATTGTAGAAGATCATGCCTTTGGAGTCATTGGCCAGTAGAACGATAGTCATGCTGAATTTTTGCCTATGGGGAAAAAAGAGAGTTTAATTAGATGAAGAACAGTTTTTTTTTTCTTTCCTCATAGAGGCACAAACATAATGTGAGAAATGTTTGCATTCAGTCTGTGAGTCTACATGAATAGGTCAAAATTGTCAGAAATGGATGAACTAATTATAGAGTTAACAGCTCGACCAAATGAACATCATTTCTGAGTTATGTCCAAATGCAAATTAACTCGAAATTGCTGGACACAAAATAAAAGTGAGACCAAGCATAATAAAACCAGATTTGTTTACCAGTTGTTGTTTTTTTAATTAATGGTCATCAGATGGAAATAATAGTAATTATGAATGAAATTATTACATAATAAGATAAAGACAAAAAATAATAATAATAACAATAAAAAATAAATAACAAAAAGAAGTAAATAAATAATCATGCACATGCAGTTTTTTAGTCATATATTCATATTAATAGTAATATTAACAGTAGTCGTAATAATAATAATGATAATAATAATAGTAATATTAATAATAATACAATAACAATACTATATTATTATCATCATTAATAATAATAATAATACATCAATAAATACATAAATAATAATAATAGTAACAACAACAACAACAACAACAACAACAACAACAACAATAATAATAATAAACAAAATAAATATGTAGTCAATAAATAATCATGCACATGCAGTTTTTTAGCTAAATATTAATATTAATAGTAAAAACAATAACAATACTATATAACTATTATTATTATTATTATTATTATTATTATTATTATTATTAATAATAATAATAATAATAATAATAATAATAATAAATACATAATAATAATAATAATAATAATAATAATAAACTAATAAATTCATAAATAATAGTAATAATAAATAGTAATAATAACTAAATAAATAACTAAATAAATAGTCAATAAATAATCATGCACATGCAGTTTTAGTTAAATATTAATATTACTAGTAAAAACTAACAATACTATATAATTATTATACATTAAAATAATAATAATACATTAAAATAATAATAATAATAATAATAATAAAATAATAAATAGTCAATAAATAATCATGCACGTGCAGTTTTTAGTTAAATAATAATATAAAATTTAACTAGTAATAATAATAATAATAATAATAATAATAATAATAATAATAATACAAACAATAACAATTCTATATTATTATTATCATTTTATTAATATTAATATTAATATCAATATTAATATTAATAATAACAACAATAAATCAATCTATAAATAATTCTGTCATGATCATCATCATTATAAATGTAAAACATCTATATGTAGTGTAATACCTGAGATCCTGGTTATACGTATGGAGGCCTTTGAGCTCCAGAAAAGAATCTCCAGTGAAGTAAGGAATGAAAGCGCCTCCCTTGTCTGACACTGAGAAATGTGAAAAAGTCCATTATGTTTTGCAGACAACTTAATGCGTTTGAGATGGGAGAGTTCCTCCAATTATGAGAGCAGACAGTGACACGGTATATAACTTTCAGGATCACACACACACCACACACACTCACACAGACACACGCGTACATCAACACACAGCTCTGCCTTTCAGCCCAGCATGAAGCCTGCAGTAATTACACAGGATGAGCGCATGCTCGGTTCGGGATGGCAGACTGAGATTAAAAAGCTAATTAGCTATTGTTTAACACAGCGCCAGCACCAGCATTGTACATGAAGACACAACACTTGCACACACCACAAGGCAGTGGAAGTCATAGTGAAAGTGACAAAGCAGAGGCCTTCATTTTATTCAGTTTATGGACTTGACAACATCCAGTACTACAGGACAGACTGATGTTGGGGGAAACTATTGGTTTGCAACTGCACAATTCTTCGTTAAATTGAAAAATGCATTAAAAATACATGCACAGTACTGTTTAAACCAAATATGCCCAATTTTATCCTTTGATTTGGCCCACCATCCCATCTGAGAGGAAAGTGAGAATGATGGAGAGGATTATGAAGCAAATGCCTTTAACACAGAAATTGTGATTTCTAATTTGACATAACCTTTTTTGTTTGTTTTATTGCTGAGCTAATAAAAGCAAACTGAAATTAAAAACTGATTTTATAAAATGTAAATACTGTCACATGACAAATAGAGGACTCTGCAGAAGTCATTGGTGTGCAAATCAAGGCAAAAGCTATAATTAGTTAATAAAAAGCAATGTTGTCTAAAGTCTTTAAAAAAATATTAAATAAATTAGGCAAATATATTACCTTCAGCCCACTAGCCTCATTCAAGTTTGGTTTTTGGCCCTTCATAAGAAAAAGTTTGGGCACCCCTGTTTTAAACGTTTGGGATCAGACTAATTTATTATTGCTTTCACCAAATACTATTCCTTTTTATTGCACTGTTTAAATATAGGATAACATTAACTAAAAAAATTCAAATAAAAATACAAAAAAAAAAATTGGAGAAAAAATTATAATTGTCAACAAAAGCAGGGTTATTTTAACAAATATTGATTTCTTAATGCTTGAGTTAAGTTAAAATATTCTAAATGTATGTCTGAAAATTGATTAAATCATGTAAAAACATGTAATGTTGACATTTTGAAAAAGTGAAGTTTATTTATAAACTAATTTCGAGAGGAGCATGTGATTATGATTGACCACGGCTGGTTCTACATTAACTAAGGCATGATTCACTGATCAGATGATTCCTAACTCACTGTAAATAGCCAGGGTTTCGTACTACAGTTATCTTCGCCTTGGAGAATCCTCCCTTTCACTCCTACTCCTCCACCTTTCCCTTCATAAGGTGGCACGGTGGCCCAGTTGTTAACACTGTTGCCTCACAGCAAGGATGTCACTGGTTCAAATCCTTAACAGGCAGCTGTAATTTCTGTGTGGAGTTTACATGTTCGTGTGGGTTTCCTCTGGGTTCTCTTGTTTCCTCCCACAATCCAAAAACATGTGTCATAAGTGAATTGATCAATCTAAATAACACTATAGTCAAAAACTTTTAACCAGCAGTATATCTCTACATAGCAATTACAATCTGCCATAAGCTCTTAACAAAGGGGGGAGTTCTCGAGACCTACCTGAGCTCAAACTACCCTCTCAGGGCTCTCTCTCGGGAATACATGCCAAACTCACTTTATAATCAATCATTAGGTAAGTGTGAAATCTTAAAATGTCATTTTATGGAAGAAATACTCTAAAGGGGGTCGCACACCAGATGCACCACACCACGACTCGCCTCACAGCACCATGTACTGACATGCATTTTTGAATAAAGTCAACATAGATTTCTATCAGGGTACCTGGGGTGGCACCCAGCTACGACACAGGACAATGTTCTGCCATGCCACAGAGCGTAATCTAAATAGTTAAATATTAAATGACAGGAGAATATGCAGTACTTCCAGTGTGCAATACTTCCAACTGTCATGTGCGCGTCGTGGTGCAACCCCGATTGGTGCATCCAGTATGCGACAGCCTTAATAGGCAACCTTTTTATTTTAAATTGGGAAGGATTGACATTAGTAGTTTTAAGAAAAAAAACACATATGTTTTCTCAAACACATACAATAACAATAAAATGTAAATCCACCAAATTTTTCAATAGCTGTATATTTAATTAATTTTATACATATATTTTGAAATATTTCATAAAGCTCCACATTTATTTTAAACAAATGTAAAAATATGTTTTTTATTTTGCTTTTGCATTTCGGCTATTCATCCATTCACCGCCAACTTATTTAGCATATGTTTTACACAGCGGATGCCCTTCCAGCTGCAACCCAGTACTGGAAAACATCCATACACACGTATTCACACACATAGACTACGGGCAATTTAGTTTATTCAATTCACCTATACCGCATGTCTTTGGACTGTGGGAGAATCCGGACCACCCGAAGGAAACCTACGTGAACATAGGGAGAACATGCAAACTTCACACAGAAATGCCAACTGACCCAGCCGAGGCTCGAACCAGCAACCTTCTTGCTGTGTCTTGCTTGTGTCACCCTCTTATTTCATATACTTTTTTTACTCTGAAATACATCCCACTATAAAAGGTAAATGGGCTACAAACACTAATTCACATTGACTATAAAAATCTAATGGATAGAGCTAATGGATGAATCATGTATTAGCTTTAGTGCTTCAGTCCAGCAGTGTGTCAGAGACAATAGCATATACTGTAACTCCCGAGAGTTAAAGTGTTTCCTGACGGGACTGTTAAATAACGTACAATTCATTTTTCTTTACACATAATTTCCCCTTCGGTCTGGTCCAGCAGGGAACAACTTTTTACGACGAGTGATTTTGTCATTTTATAGGTGCCAACCAGAGCCGGACAGTCTCTTATCTGAAAAAGCCACTCTCTCTGGACACTTTGCCCGACTGACTCTCCATTAATCATGATGTGCTGCTGACTGATAGAATTACTCATCTCATTGATTCAAGCCATAAAAAAAAATACACCCCGTCTGATGGATGCGCTCAACTCATTGATTCTGGTTCACCTCGATTTATTTTAATCACTCGCTAATGGAGACTTTCTTAGACAAAAAGGTGACTCTATGGCTCCTCGTGTTTGACAGTTCTGGGTTAAACAGATGTGTGTGGCGAATGTTGAAACCGGCCCCGCCCACAGTTAATGAGATCATTTATATTGCTAATATGTTTATATTGAAGACACATAGCTGATACAGGCTGACAATGAGGATGGTCGTATAAATGACAGCATGGGGGAATCAAATTTTCAGTAAATACTGGAGGGTGATGTACAGTGAATGTGCAGGAAACTCTACAGTGTGTGACAGTTTGGTTCTGGAAGTAAAAGTTCCACTTACATTCTTTATAGATTAAATTATTTTTAATGATAACCTATGAAGTCAGCTTTAAAGAAAGCTCTGAGATTGTTAATCGATATCTTATACAAGGGTATATAATTTTGTTGAAGCCATTAGTCTGCATTATTTACTTTAAATGTCAATATTTCTATTTTAAATATGGAAGCAACGTTAGCAGACATTAGAATAACCCAAACCTAATAAATCCTGCATATACAGAAAACCGAAAAACCATTCATTCATTCATTTTCCTTCAACTTAGTCCCTTATTTATCAAGGATCGCCACAGCAGAATGAATCAACTATTCCAGAATATGTTTTACACAGCAGATGCCCTTCTGGCACAACCCAGTACTGGGAAATTAGTACATTTGAGTTATCTCTTATTTTCTTCCATGGAGTTATATGCATTTATATAAGTTATACTCAGGGTGTTACGGTGGTGCAGTGGGTAGAAAGATTGCCTCACAGACGAAGGTTGCTGATTCGAGCCCCGGTTGGATCAGTTGGCATTTCTGTGTGGATATTGCATGTTCTCCCCGTGTTTGCGTGGATTTCCTCCGGGTGCTCCAGTTTCCCCCACAGTTCTGCGCTATAGGTGAATTGAATAAGCTAAATTGGCCGTAGTGTATGTGTGTGAAAGAAAAAGTTTATGGGTGTTTCCCAGTGTTGGGTTGTGGCTCAAACGGCATTCACTGTGTAAAACATATGCTGGATAAGTTAGCGGTTAAATCCGCTGTGGTGACCCCTGCTTAATAAAGGGATCAAGCCGAAAAAAAAATTAATGAATGAATGAAGTTATACTCAAATACATATTTATATACACAATATACATATTCCCCTGTATTTAAGGTTTGAAAACACTGAATATTCCACAGTATTGCACAGAATATTCTATTCTATATTCTGTACATAAACCAACTGTCATTTTCTGCCAAAAGTGAGGCTCTGAATGATACTATTCTTTAGAAATATTTTGAAGACACACAATTATTACCTATTGGGCAAATTCAAAGAACTAATAATGACCTTGAAGTGGTATTATTTTTTTCCAGAGCTGTAGTTGTTTTCCTCATTAAAGCCTTCTTAATTTAACCATGCACCTTTTTATTTTATATTTATGCACAGGGCTTGGCATTAGCTGTTTTGATCACCAGCCACTATGGCTAGTAGTTTTTCATCATTACTAACCACTCAGCATTTTCACTAGCCACAATTTTGCTGTTTGGAACATATTTTTTATGCATAAATTGACTTTGCTATAATTACTTGATTTAGATATTGTGTAATGACCACATGACTTCATTTCACTGCTTTGTGTGTTGTGCATGTACATGAGCATAAGCAAATCAGTTGTGGTTACATGGTGTTGCATTGCATGTAGTTACTGTTTTACATTTTCAGGGCTTAACATTAAAAATGTACAAAATTTTCCTCAGGCCACACCAAAAAAAATAAAAATAATATAAATAAATAAATAAATAAATAAATAAATAAATAAATATTTTTGGCCACAAATTTAAAATAATTTAAACATTTCAAAAATGAGCAAAACATATATTATAATATGCATACACTTTTTTATTCAACAACACTTATATTAAAATAAAAACATAAAACTTTTGACATCTAAAAAAATATATAATTTGTCATGTATCTAAAAATCTGCACAGTAGTCTGCCCTGGCTAAAGATCTCAGATCATCAGTTAACTATATATAAACGGGAAGTTAATCTCCTATTTAAGAAATGTTACTGCAAAGGATAATATCAAAGCCGAAATCTACTCGCATTTGGCAGGTTGGCAAGTGTTAATGTCAAGTCCTGTTTATGCACCAATTTATGCTCCAATTTTAAATTAATTTACACTTCAAATTTTATAATACTTAGATTCACCACATAGCCAGTTTGTTTGATTCAAAATTCTTTAACAAACACAGTTTTTCTTTCCTAAATCCCTGCACGGAAAAAAAAAAAATTTCTGAACCAAGCCTGCTAAAAAAGGGGGTGGGCTTTACTGCCAATTTAACCTACATATAATAGGTCTGTGGCCTCGCTCGTGTATTGGGCTGGACTCCTCCTGCACCCCAGGGGTTTTCCCAATACGCCTGCGCAAGTGTATCTCCCTAAACCTTTCATTTGGTTTCCCCTTTTCACATGCTTGCGGTCTCACACATCTGTAAGAATTTTAATGAGGTGAGAGAGGAAAGTGTAACCGAAAGTGAGTGCTAATGAAAGCCTCCAAATGGCAGCAGAATGGAGCATCTCCTCCCTGGTTAGGGTCCAGCTCCCAGTGGACGCCCGGCTACAGAAATCCCCCCCTTCGACCCACCATATGTTTGATCTTCAGTTCACTCAGACACAGTGTAAAAGTGCAAATAATTTCACATCACCTCCTAGATGCCGACTCTCTATTATATTAGCTGATGAAACCTATTTTACAGTGTGGTAGCTACCAGAGATGCAACTGGAGACTCGCTTTTTTCCACTCCAGCATAACCCTCGGCTCTTATTTTATCCCTCAATAATTCTACCGCAAATATCCAAGTCGGACTGATCGATCCTGACCAAAATCAATACTGAAATTACAACTGAGGAGCAGCAGTTATTTCAGTCCTTAGAAGAGTCGATACCTTCATTTACTGTATTTTTACCATGATGTAGTACTGTACCTTTTTCACAGTGCCTGCCTTCACGTCCCATCGGACATTCGCATTTGTAACCTCCCTCTGGAAGGACCTGGCACCGTGATGGCGGGTGGCATTTATTGGGGTCGCAGGGGTTGTGGGCATCAGCGCAGGTCGGGCCTGTTAACAAAAATTGATATTCTTGTGACTTAAACAAAAGATGATGGGAAGACACATGAGGGAGAATAAAAACATCATTCTGTCAATTCTCATACAAATGGTATAGTTAAGTTACAAATAATATGAAGATCAAATAACAGGGACCTGCAAATGAAATGAATGGGAGAAATTAGCCCAAAAAGCCTAAACCTTTTTCAATACAGCTTGAGGTAACATTTGATGATAAGGTCCCATTTCTTGATTAGTTAAAGAATTACAGAAGCGCTACACTTTTTTTTAAAATAGGCTGATTTTACAAGACATCCTAAGTCAGACAGTTGCATATTAATCAATTCAGCTAATCTCCAGGTCTGACGGGAGCACTTTTAGCTTAGCTTAGCATAAATTCTTGAATCGGATTAGACCATTAGCATATCTCTCTAAAACTCCTCCAAAAATAGTGTTTTGATAAATCTGCTATTTAAAGCTTGACTCTTCTGTAGTTACATTGTGTACTATAACTGACAGAAAAGGTAAATTTGCTATTTTATATTTTCTAAGCCAATATGTCTAGGAACTATACTCTCATTCTGGCATAATAATCAAGAAATATTGCTGCTGTACCATGGATAAAGCAGGTGCAATGATATTATGCACATTAAAATAGTGCCTAGCTAAATATGTTAAGCTAAAAGTGCTCTCGCCAGACGTGGAGATCGACTAAATAGATTTCAAAATGGTAAAACACATCTGTTTAACTCTAGGTGACTTGTAAAATGAACCTGTTTCAAAAAAAGGTTGAGTACCTTTAAAAGGGGCAGATCACCAAAAAATGGGAATTCCATCATCATTTATAGATATTTAATAAGATAACTTAAACACTGACTTGCTTTGTATGTAAAAGAAATACAATTGGAGGTCATTAGGATAGAGAAGGGGTTCACACCTATGAACATCAAACATGATTTTACTAAAAAAACACACACACAAAGAAAATTGTTGTTAATCTATGGAGCATAAATGATCCATGTTTGCCATAGTTTAAATTCAATAACCACTTCTTGTAGTAAAACCTTGGTTAATTTCTATAAGATGCCTTGAGCTACAGATGTCAGAATGTTTAGTCAATATGAAATGCTAATGAAACCAGTATTAGTTTGAGACTGAGCTGTCTTCTAATTGCCTGATTTTAACTGTTAGACCAGTATGTTTTATTGGTTTTAGCATTCACTGAGACAAATTCTATTTGGATTTAGTTATTTGTACATGTCACCAATAAAAAATAACAAATTACCAATATAGACCCACAAGGACCATTACCATTAGCAATGCAATTCCCAATATAACCAACAAAACCATTAGAATTGTTGAGGTTTCCATTTGTTAGTTTTTTTTTTCAGCAGGGTAGTGATGACACAAGATCAAGATCCTCTGGTCAAGCCTACTTGAATTTTTACCATAGTTAAAGGTGCAGTAGGTGATCTGCCAAAATACTATCCGTTTCCTCCTGAAATCATGAACAAGCCCCTTAAAGATGACAGTAGACAACCCACTAGATCATGTCAGTTAGAAAACTTGATAGTACTCTATAGTACTATAATTCCAAATAAAAAACTATTATATCTAGCATGTTTTCGGTTGTGTATCAAGCAAAACTTGTCATAATGTGCAATATTTAATGCATGCAAGAATTGCTGGTCTCACTCTCTCATGCGCTTTGTCCTAAAGCATCTATAATGCTTGGCCGGCAGCGTGCAGGACTAAACCATACTTACAAGCCATTTCACAGCGAAAATTCAGAGTGGCATGATAAACAATGTAGGGACCGTGTCACAGGTTGTCATTGTTAAAAAATGAACCAACTTTAAAATCAACTTTACCTCAGTAATTAGGCTACGCAGAATAGTGCTATTTGCTTATGTTATGTGACTTTAAAACATTATCAATGCTTTAAAAGGTCCCTTATGAAATTGAAAATAGTCACATCAATCGTTCGCTGGACGATTTTAGTGGTTGAACAACACTTCTGTATTAAGTATTCTATAGCCTTTGCTTCTGTGCATTTAACCAATTCGTAAAACAACACAATCAACATAAGCTTTGCGTGACTAAAATACTTTTATCTATCTAATTTAAATTTCTTAGCCATGGTCCTTACTCCAGTGTGCAAAAGTAACTCCAATATTGATTTAGGGTTTTAAAAAGTTTAAATTTAGCATTTGTTTTGACCGCTGTGTCTCGTGTGTACATGAATGCGTGGTAGATCTGCGTGAACAGCTGCAGATGTACAAATCTACATTTGTGGACAGACAGTTTGGGCTACTTATCAGAATTATGGGAATTATCATCCCAACAAATTTTAATTGGATAATTTTAATTAATTAATAATGTTTTAGTCTTAGTGTATGCCTTACCTAGAATAAAAAATACATATAAATACATTTAGATCATTTCCTTTAATCAGTACTATTGGATTGTGAAGAGACTTTCAACCAGCACAACAAAAATGTTACTGAACACAATCATCTACTGCACCTTTAATTTCTAAAAAGATTTTGAAAGATTACAACTGTAAATTCACCCACAGCACATCGCATTGAGCCCTGTTGGTTGGAAAGAGCGAAATGCTTCAGGTCAGCACTTTTGGCCTCATCCGAACATTCCCCATCATCACATACTGTAGAACATAGTAGGAGCCAGAGCCACGGGCGGCAGAGTCTGCTCGTTGTAATGAAAGCCCCTGCCGTGTTCAGAGACGCTCTGCTAGGTGTCTCTCTCTCGCTCATACTCTGAAACTGTAAGGCCTCTCTATCACTGAGACAAGCGCGGCAACCCTCCAACTTACAATCCTGCTCTTTAAACATTAAAGGTTATCCCACATATTTATCCCTCTAGCCAATTTCTTTGTGTACACTTCCACTTCAAAGGGTCTTCATTTTCCTACACACCTCATTGCAGCCATTCTGCAGCTCCGAAATAAAGTGGAAGATATTGAACTGTATTATTATAAAGGTTGTTCAATAAAGGCTTGTGAGCAGAACAACAGAGCAATTTACTGTGGGCAATATTTCAAATGTCTGGAGCAACTCTGCAAGACTGAGAAAGAGAGAGAGTAAAAAAACCCTCTTGGTTGTGAACAAAGGAAACCCTGTAACTTTTGCTCTGTGGATGATTTCTACTGCTTCTTATGTTGGAAGAAAGCACAGATGGATGTATAGGAGAAAGACAGAAACAGTTCAAAACATCGCTGAAAGTACAGCGACAAAAACAGCAGTGAAACAAAAGTTTGGTGATGTTTTGCAAGAAGTTTTGTGGAAAATGATTTGGTTTAACAGATTAAGTAGAAACGTCTGGCCAGTAGGATCCATCCTAAATACAGATTAGCTTTTTATTTGGCATCCTCACCAATAAATGTGTTTTTTTAATACAACCAAGGAATCCAAAAATAAAAATGTTTGGTCTGACGATGACCTGAGCCAGTTTTGATTTAAAAACTCTGTGTGGCAGACATAAAAAAATCTTAATCATAACATTGGCATTTGGTACTAGGAATTAATTGGCGTAAAAAGTCTTGTTTGTACAATAGAGTTCCAAGGGCTGCCATACACTCACAGCCATAAGATGAAGAATAATAAGAAAATCAGAGACTCTGTGGAAGCAATAAGGTGCAGCCAGACATACAGCGTAGGTTTTCAGCCATAATCTCACTATACAATACCAGTCAAGATTCAATACATACATTTGGGTGAATTGCATTATTATAATAGGATTGCGAATGAAACTGTGCCAAATGCTCAAATGTGCTTCTATTGTGCTTTTATATAGTTAATTCCAAAAAAAATAAAAGAAAAAATAAAATGAAATAAGATTTATGATTTTGCTTAAAGAATGGTAACCCTGTTTTCATTATGAGAACTGTTTTTTTCAAACTTTTTAACTTAGAGAATCATTAACGAATATCATATTATGTTATGTATTGTTATATTATATTATAATATACTATATGTGAAACTAAACTGAAAAAGGGTAAATTGTTTAGGAAATTATGATTTATACAAGCTTTGTGTTGATTTTCGGACAATTTTTGGCCTAAGAAACAACTATTTTAATATCTGGAGTATGAGGATATAATGAAAAAAGTCACCTTTAAAGTAGTCCAATTTAAGTTCTTACCATTGCGAATTACAATTACATTCATTGCGATTTTTTAAAAAATCTAAATAACAAAATGTCTTCATGAAACATGATCTATAATTAATGCTGTAACAATTTTTGCCATACAAAAAAAAAAAAGAAAAAAAGAAAGAGAAGAGTTTAGATGCAAAAGCCTAAATGCAATCTGAAATGTTTTTGTTTTCAATCTGACTGTGTTCAGTCATTTCACTTTAAAAACTATGAAAATAACCTATTCATCGCCATATAAGTGAAGTTACTGAACCTACACACAAGAGCAAGAGAAAAATGTTCATTAAAAAACAAAATTAAATTCATTCATTCATTTTCTTTTCGGCTTCTTCTTTATTAATCTGGGGTCACCACAGCGGAATGAAGCGCCAACTCATCCAGCACGTTTTTACACAGTGGATGCCCTTCCAGCCACAACCCATCTCTGGGAAAAAAATTAAATTAAATTAAATTAAATTAAATTAAACTGTTGTTAATCCATGGAGCATAAATGATCCATGTTTGCTATGTTTGATCACATATTATATTATATTATATTATATTATATTATATTATATTATATTATATTATATTATATTATATTATATTATATTATATTATCAACATAAGCCATTAAATGTAAGATAAACCTTGTATTCAATATCTTTCACTTCAACTTGACAAGTTTGGTCTCAAACATAGCTCTGCTGGACATAATGTTTGATTAGTTATTATTTTCTTCTAAGAAATATAGCTTATGTTCCTCTGCTGTTTTAAAAATATCCTTTTTCAAGACTGAGAAACTGTGGCTTCCCATCCATGGTGAATAAATTCAAGACTGGTGAAGTTTTTGTATTCGCTCCATGTTTGTCCTTGCTGCCTTCATATCACTGAGTAAACACTCATCTGTCTTACATACCCATAAGGCCAAAAATTGATTAGACAAGCATCCTCTGCCCTGCTGAAACTTTCATCAATACAGTCAAGTCCACATATTCACTGGAACAGAGAGTCACTGCAAAGCCCTTCATTCTTCTTAAACGGCGTATAGTTAAAGGTGAAGCTCGCCATTTTTTTTCTGAGGCAACACTAGCTTAACAGATGAAAGTGTCAAACGCATACAAATTAGAGCGAAGAGTTGTACACCTACCAGAGAAACCGTTGACACATTTGCAGTGGAAAATCTCGGCTTCTTTGACCTGACAGGACGCTCCGTTCTTGCAGGGGTTTGGCAGGCATGGGTTGTTGCCACACTCGCCAATGGCCGAACCGTACAGAACGCTGCCGCCATTCTCTTGCAGATTATAGACAAGGTTGTTCACGTCCAGCATGCGGATGCAGCCCACCAGACCTGCTGAAACTGATGTCCTCTCCTTTACGCTGTGAAGACAAGATAATCAGTTTTGTCATTTGTTTGTCTCATTTTATAATGCTCATTGTAATTATTAAAAGGCTAAATCCTGAAAATTTTGTTGTTATTTACTCATTTCAAACCTGTAAGACTTTTGCTAAAGGGATAGTTCACCCAAAAAAAACATCAACTACTCTCTCTTGTTTCAAACCTTTAGAAGATTCTAGAAAATTCTGTTAAACACAAAAGAAGTAATTTAGAAAAATGCTAGAAACCTGTAACTATTGAGCTCCATAGTATTTGTTTTGCTATTATGTATGTCAATGGTTACAGCTTTCTTCAAAATATCTTCTTTTGTGCTCAACATAAGAAACATACATGGTTCAGAACGATTTGAGGATGTGTAAATAGTGAGTCAATTTTCATTTTTAGGTGGACTATCCCTGTTCAGAACACGAATTAAGACGCTTTTATTAAATCTGAGAAATTTCTTTCCTTCCATTAACGGTCTGCTGACCTAAAACTCTGGCACGACTGTAAAGGGATCAAAATATAAATCCATATGAATTGAGGGATTTGATCCAAGTTTTCTGAGAAGACGCTGCTGCTTTATAAGACAAACAGATTTAGTTTAGGCTTTAATTTACATTCAAACTAAATATACTCAAACAGGTGTGGTTGAACTTCTGTTCACTGAAGTGTCTATATTAAAGCTCAAATGGAATCTGTTCATCATATAAAACGATCATGTCTCTTCAAAAGACTTGAATTAAACCACTCAATTCATACAGACTTGTTTTTTGATCTCTTTAGAGAGTTTAGGATGAAAAGATTTTCAATGAAGGGACAGAAATCTTTGAGACCTCAATAAAAAGTATCTCATTTGTGTTCAAAATGAAAGTTGAAATGACATGAGAGTGAGTAAATGATGACAGAATTTTAATTTGGTGAGAAGAAACCCTTTAAACCACACAGAAAATGTAACAAAGACCTGAAATGATAAAATAATAATAATAAAAAAAATAACAAAGACGTCTTCTTTATTGAGAAAAGACACTCTTTGCCTGAGTGAGAACAGATGGAAAAACATTTAATTAGATCCACAGGAACTCAAGTGGTGTTTCACAACATCTCTGATTGATGCTAATTTGATTTGGCTATTTCTGCTCCATCTTATTAAGTCGTATTAGTTGTTCTGGCAGGTTCCAGCATACATGCGCAGACGATCTCAGACAGTCATCGTTTTAGGTTATTATTCTTCATATTGTTTCATTATGATCCTAACAAGACTAAAGAGGCTCTTGTTAGCGTTATTTGTAGGAGGTCTGGAGTTTCTCTTACTCTGCACTCATGTCATCAAGCACTCCGCCGATGAAAAGGTCTGTGTCCAGGTTGAGTCCATCTGTTCCTGGAGGACTTTGTCCTTCAACGCTGGGCTCATTGTCCACGCTCAGCATGGCATTGCGCCTGTTACGTACTACAACAAGCTGATGCCAGCGACCCGGCTTTACCAGGACTTTACTGATAACTGAAGCAGTCCCTGAACCAGTGTTAAACCTGCAGGAGAGATTCACATATTAACATGATGAACAGATCTGGATTGGCACTAAATATTAGGCCCTGTTTATACTGGGTATTATGAAACTTTTTTTTGGTCACACTTTATTTTGATGGTCCCTTTGTTGAATTTAAGTTATTGTATATTGCATCAACTAATTCTCATTAGAATATAAGTAGACTGTTAGGTGGGGTTAGGGTTGGGACTAGTTTAAGTTGACATGTATTTCCAAAGTTTCTTTTAGTCAGTTAAATGTCTGTTAAAGGAGCAGTATTAACAGATTTTAAGCAGAGTAATCTACTAATACTCAAATAGACCATCAAAATAGAGTCTTTTTTTATCTGAATCTGAATGTTGTTGTTTTTTTCATATGAATACATAATAATCTTATTCATAAAGACATAGTTTTTATGATCTTATAATATAATTATGTTCTATGTTGTAGAATATTCATTTAACTATTTACATCCAGGGTGAAAACGCATGTCATAATATAATTCCTTCCAGAATAATCTCAAATGAACATCTTTATTATACACATGGGGATAACACACAACAATGTGAATATATATAACCATATAAGTGCAAAAAATGCTTTTCTTACTTAGATTTTTATTTCAATCTTGTTTCTAGTCAAACTATCTAAACATTCTTAAATCAAGAAGCATTTTCAAAACAAGAAAAAAATATATTATTTTGTTTTAAGAAATAATATGCCACAATTTAAGAGTTTTTTCTTAAAACAAGCTAAACAATCTGCCAATTGTGTAGATAATAATAAGCCAATGTTTGTCTAGAAAATACTTCTTGATTTTGATTTTTTGATTTTTTTTTAGACTTTTTAAGAAAAGCATTTTTTTGCAGTGTATACACACATTAGCATATATTTATATCAGTTGAGCATCTTCTATTTGTTAATAACAACGAAATCAAGTCTTTTAACTGAATATATATTCAAAACTATTTGCACCATTTTCCCAGAAATATATCCTTCTTTAAATTAACAACAGAAGTGATTTTTTCTATTGTGTAGATCTCAATAGTTGCATCACTCTAATTATTTATGGTTGGTCGCGCTTATTGTATCCTTTCTGCATTATTTGTATTAAATTTATAACTTCTACCAAGTATTTCCCAAGTTATTTCCAAACAGAGCCCAATGCAATTTTCACAGTATTTCAAATAAACACAGTTTTATTTATTTTTAAATATATATATTTTATGATCAATATTATCAGCCCCCTCAAGAATGTCTTTTTCAGAATAAATCACGGTTGTCCAATGAGTTTCCCAGTTAACATGAAACCCTTTAATTACATTTTAAGCGAAACGCAAGTATCTTATACAAACTAACAAAATATTATGTACTGAATGTCATCATGGGAAAGACAAAAGAAATTAGTTATTAAAACTATTTATAATTTAAAAATGTAAATTTTACAGGAGGGGCTAATAATTCTGCCTTCGAATATAAATGTTAAAATGCTTCATTACCAAGTCATCAAAAATGAAGGAAATCAAATCATTTATATATATTTTGCTTGCTTCAATAAATTCATTAATATATTTATTCCATTTCACTGCTTTAACATTTAATCAATATTTTTACTGTAAAAATTTTAATAAAGTACATTATAGTTAAACCTTTTTGTTTTACTGTATACTATGTAAAATGCAGAAGATTTTTTTTTTGCAACATCAAATCAAAAGATATTACATTTCCACTACAAACACCTGCTCATAGATCCTTTTCTGATCAGAGAAGGGATCAAAATGAACTAAAAAGATATAAATTTAAATGGCAGCTGCTTGAATATATGTCTCTCTTACTTGTGCTCCAATTAGCCAAAACACATCTTAATATCAAACAAAAACAGGACCTATAAATCGATTTCAAACCTCAAACTCACTCACCTGAGCTCCACATATCCTTCAACTAGAGTCAGAGAAAGAAAGTCCTTTTTGCTTTTTTGCCCATTGTAGAGCAATATCCCAGTCATTTCCGAAGCCCTGAACTCCATGGCAATGCGTACAGTATGGTAGGCCTTCATGGTCTGGAACGCCATGTAAGACTTTCCACCAAAGGATGGTATGAAGTACTTTATAACTGAGTAGGGGACAGAAGGTAGAAGACAGATAAAGCAGGTTATCAGAGACTCTCAACCAGGTCTTCAATCCCTTAACAGTCTGCTCTCTACCGATAGAGCGACAAATAAAACTGAGCTGAAGTGTGTCTCCCTCAGATAACGCTGATACCCCGGTCAATAGTACAGTAATGTGCCGTTCATGTTGTGTTTTGTTATATGTAAAAACATAAGAGCTGCAAAAAAAAAAAAAAAAAAAAGCCAAACAGTGTAGTTTCCCCCAGACGTCTTTCCATTAGACATTTACATTGCAGACGGAGAATCCCCATGCTCAGAAATGAATCAACACCTCTCTCTCTCTTCTTCTTTCGGCTGTCTCTCACTCTTTTCTCTGGAGAATGCAAGTCTGATGAAGCCTTCTCTCTTCATCACTCTTTAATGGCCCGATTGATCAGAGGAAGTGTTTGAGGGCTGCTTACAAGCCTTTAATTAGTGGCTTTTTTTCACCTCACCGCAGTTTGATACTCGCTGAAGTTCATCGATGTAATTAGAGTCAATTATAACCTGACACAGCTGCAAAAGGTAGTTTCATATCCCAATACCACCAACAGAGACAATGAATTGAGCTCAGATTTCCTCGGCGCAACAGCGGGACTCCAGTTGTAGACTTATTGAATCCTTTTTTTTTTTACTTCAAAGGAGTCAAATATTCTGGAATGTTAATAATAAATAACAACATTAATAAATAATGCATTTTCAATTGTGATCATTTATTAAAAATAATTAATATTCAAATGTGTCTGAAATATTCAAGTGTGCTTCTGTTGTGCTTTTTATGAGTTCTGTTTAAAAAGATCAAAGAGATAAACAAAAATAACACTTAAGATTCTTTGGCAGTATTTAATTATCTATCTATCTATCTATCTATCTATCTATCTATCTATCTATCTATCTATCTATCTATCTATCTATCTATCTATCTATCTATCTATCTATCTATCTATCTATCTATCTATCTGTCTGTCTGTCTGTCTGTCTGTCTGTCTGTCTGTCTGTCTGTCTGTCTGTCTGTCTGTCTGTCTGTCTGTCTGTCTTTCTGTCTGTCTGTCTGTCTGTCTATCTATCTTTCTGTCTGTCTGTCTGTCTGTCTGTCTGTCTGTCTGTCTCCTGTCTGTCTGTCTGTCTGTCTACCCACAAACACACCCACCCAACCGTCTGTCCGTGAGTCCGTCCATCCATCCATCCATCCATCCATCCATCCATCCATCCATCCATCCATCCATCCATCCATCTATCGATAATGGTTTTACTATTGCAGTTCTTCTTACACAGACTTTACTTTGGCAGGTCACCCGGGTATATTAATGGCCGCCAAAGTATATTTGGTGGAATTTTTTTTTTATTTTTTTTTATACATTGTTAACACTCTCACACACAATCTCACATGCTCTGCAGAGACCTACAGGACCCACAGAGACATGCCTTTTTTGGGACTAAATAATGCATCCGTCTGGGCTTTTTATCCCTTTATGGCATTTATATTTTATTTGCTGTATATTGATTTTTAAGTTGATGATGTTGATATATTACATATTTTATACATATCTAACATGCTTTGGCAATACTGTACAAAATGTCAGCAACAGATTTTACCTGTCAGTGGGTGCATATATATAGGGGTGTGACAAGATCTTGAATGACGAGATCTCGCGAGATTAAATCACGACGAAATTTTTTGTTGAGGTGAAAAGTTGTCTTGTGAGTTGTGATGTTATGATGGAGTGCAATGGTGAAATTAGCATTTAAGAGTGGAGACATGATTGTAATTGAACACTTGAGCCGCAAATTAGACGAATAGATGAAGTTCGCAAGTTTGTTTATAAAGTTACTGATGACTCGAACAAGCATAGATGGTTCAAGCAGCAGCTCCTGCTCTAGCGATGAAGAAATGATTAGTGTTCATAGAGCAATAAGCAGCTCCACGTTCATATCGCCTCTGGGCATCTTCTTCAACGTGCGCTCACATTGACAGTTTTGCACTTGAGCGCCTCCAAGTGCTGTTTACAGTAACTTCAGCAGCTTCATGCAAGTGAGCAAAAGTGCCGATCTGATTGGTGGAGAAGGATGCATGAGGCGTTTTTTTTTAAATGACGCTTTTGTGCCTGGCGTTTTGCGCGTTGGTGTGCACAATCACATTGACGCCCTTATTTAGTTATGAGGCGTTAAACGTTGACAGAAAACGCGAGCAAAAAACGTCTCGGTGTGCACGGGCCTTAAGTGCTACGCACATATCTGGCAGCCCAGGGTGCCCTCAGAGTTGCATGTCACTTAGTTGGGCAGGCGGGTGTGACGTAACCCCTTTGTTTTATCGGAGTTCAGCTACTGCTATGTCATTCAAAGGCTACAACTGCAGCCACACACATTAAACATGGTTTATAAACATGTTATGGCATAGCACTTTAAATATAATGCTATAAGTCCTAATCATCGTAAACACAAATTTAATTAATAAAAATACATTCATAACAATTTTTTAAAACATCTAAATTGTTAAAACATCTTAAATTGTCTGCTTTTTGTGTTTTTTTTATTTAAATAAAAATACATTTTCCATTCATATATCAGCAAATATTTAGCAAATATTTACCTACCAAGTATATTTCAAACCTGTGGGAAGCACTGTATTGTCTATTGTTTATAGTCCTCACCTTTCTCACACACGGCTCCTCCTCGTCCTGCTGGACAGATACAGGTGAAGTCATTGTCGTCTTCTTCACAGGTTCCTCCATGTCGGCAGGGCTGAGAGTCACATGGACTGTGAGCGTGGGGCCCTAGTCTGTTCATAAGCGAAACTGTGGTCTTGGGCACATGTGGTGCAGTGGTGGTGGCTAGTGCTGGCGTGGTGGTTCTGTGGCTTGTGAAGGGTCGTCTAGTAGTGATGGGCCGGAGAGTGGTATAAGCAGAACTGGGAGACATTGTGGTGGTGGTGGTAGTGGGAGTCGTGACAGACGCCACAGTGGTTGTTGTGGTGGTAAAGAAAGGAACAGTTGAAAGACCTAAAAAATTGGAGAGAAAAAAAATTTATCTTCTGGACTATAATTCTTCACAAATGAAACTGAGGCTGCAATAAAGTCTCGAATTCAATAAGCTGGTTCTTTTTGAGTTATTCGAGTCCTGCGGCCACTCGTGGTTATCAAATGGCAGCTTGAAGAGCAATCACACTCAACAAAAGCCAGCAAGAGAACAAGAAAAAGGACGGAAAAGCAATTTCAAGCGGGTTACCATAGTTGTTGATGTGAATGTTCTCTTCCTCCGGTTTCTTCACAACGATGCCAGTGTCTTTAGATGCCTTAAGCTGTTTGAGAAGGGCTCCCTCAATATCCCCCACATTGAACCTTGTGTCTGCAGAACAAGAACACAGCCCTGAACGTATTGCACAGCAGAGGATGAAGAACCGGCACTAACCAGCCACACCACCCTCGCTCTTGACATAACAAACTGCAAATATATACAGAAAAGCCTGCGTGTAATAGGCCCTTGGGAGAAGCAGTTCTTGAGCCGCCATGCATTTCAGGGACGTTGGGATGAAACACTCTAATAACGCTTCCACAGATGGCCCTGTTACTGGCCACCACAGACCGCCTTTATGACAGGCGCTTGTGCTAGAATTGTGCTCTTGTGCCGCTGAAGGGGACCAATAAAAAGAGAATAGCGAAGGAGATTTTTATCAGCTGGTGCGATGCTCTAAAGGTCTTAAAAGCACGAGGAGCAATAGAGACTGAAATAAAGCAGCTTTTTCAGAAAACCTAGCTGATAAATTACCTCGCTAAAAAGGCCACGCTCTCTGACCAATGCCGCAGCCAGAAAAGACGAGAGCTGTATCTACAGGGATTCTTTTACTTAACTTATACGCCTCATTCTGCTGTGTTGAATTATTATTTTCTTCAAACATACAAGGGAGTTTTTATGCGCTCTTTATTTCTTGCCGTGGGCATGTTTCTAAAGGAGCGCAGACTGAGGGAATTTGATGTGTGAGGAGGGTATAAGTCAGACTTTGTGCTTTGTGTGCTAGAGCCACTTCAGAAATAAATTAGAAGCAGCTCGGAAAAGGAAAATAAATAAAAACAGGATAACGGAGGGCAGAATGACTGGGGAAGACAGATAATAAAGAACATCAAGAGATCATTTCGCTAAACAGCACAGTATTTTAGCACAAAGACCTCAGCCTTTACAAAGCGCATGCAATCCAGTTTGATCCATAGAAATTCATTGAACTATTTCAAGTCATAACTATTCTTTTAAGTGCAAACATACCACATTGTCTATGCAAATTGTCCTAATTTAAAGATAATTAATCTAATTGTTATTTTTAAAGACAAGAAAGTTGGTGGTAAACCTATTTTTATATATGATCATGGTAACTTTTATTAAGCAAATGATGACTAAATGTAGCCAGGTGCATATTCTATATTTTTAAGAGCATGGGTAAAGTTGACATGCCGCACACTCACAGCATAGGATACTATATTTATTCTAAAAACCGAGACACTCTCTAAGCTCCAAATGTTGTTTGTCCAACTCATTCTGCTTCAAACTGAATTTGAACTAGTAAACTAACATGGGAGGAGGTTGAAGTAACAAGCATCCTTAAGCAATACTGCAGCCTCTAGAGTGAGTCACTAGTGGGACATACTAGATTTAATCCGCCTCTCTGTACCTTAAACCCATCCGGGTCATGGCACCAAGAACTTGGCCCTACTCACAATGCACCAACTTGAAATCAAAGCAGCCGTAACCAGCTTAAGATAAGGAGTGCTAATAATTATTCTAATTACTACAACCCCAAGATTTAGTCTCTAGTGCAGCTCTTGAGGCAGGAGGAGTGAGGTTTCTCAACAGTCCATCTTAGTTAGCCTCTATTACATTCAACTCTAAAATCAACCAAACAGCTCTCTCGTTCAGGTTGCAGCACCAATGCAATCTGCTTGCAATGTTCCAAGTGGAACTTAAACCACTGTCAAAAGGTATGGGATGTGGGAGGATGCTAAACACCACAGTCCCATACAGCAGTCTAAAGAGTAAGTTTAACCTGCATTGGTCTTACTAGCTGGCCTCATTCGATCATTTAAATCTTACTCCTATCCAGGTCACAGCACCAATATAACTGGTCTTACAACACTTTGGCCCGGTTTCACAGACAGGGCTTAGACTAGCCAGGATTAGGCCAAAGTTCAATTAGAACATTTAAGTAATTTTTATAAACATGCTTAAAAAAAAACAATTTTGGTGTGCATATTGAGACAAAACAAAGGAACTGATATATTTAAAAATCAATTAGTGCAATTTTAATTCAGTCAAAACAGCTCAGACTTACATTTTAGTCTAGAACTAGGCTTAAGCCTTGTCTGTGAAACCAGGGCTTTAAGTAATATTTGAATCCGCATTATTAAGTGAAGGAAAAAAGCAAAACACTTTACCTGGGTCGAAGTGAGCCTCGATATGTGCTATTATGGAGTTGCTGGGGGATAGATTCCTCACACGGACACTCTGGAAGTCTTTCTGGACATCAGACTTGCGGAACAACTCATTCATCTGAAGAAAACAGAAGCAGAGAGAAAATAAGAAAAGAAACAAACAAACAAGTAAATGCCCCAAGTGCAGTGCATGAAACTGGTTATAAGCTGGATATGCTGATCTAGTTCTCGTTAACAATAAATTCCTCCACAGGAAGAGAAAGTGTGTCAGTAGAAAAACTCTAGTGAACCCCATCGGGTCTTGGTGCACAAATTGACATTTAACTACAGCGCAAAAGTAATTACATGAACATGTTTCGAAGTCAGCTGTAAATGTCAGGCTACAACGCTGCCCATTTAGAATTGGCTCAGTTTCCACCTCGATACGTGTAGGCGAGTTCTGTCACCGATTTGGCACAACGTGAGGGAAGCTTTGTTGCTTCTGATTCCCTGACAGTGAATACCTATACAAAGACTATTGTTCCAAAATCAAATTCACTTCAGTGCACCTAATTGGTAAAACCTAGAGACAACGAGAAGTGGTTTTCAATTAGGACACATTCAATCAACTCACAAACTGCTTTGTGAGTTGTTCTAGTGCTTTCTGACGCGTGTGCACATTCTGTTAGAGGGTCTCCACAGGAGTTCTATCGAGTACCCCATTCAAGTCACCCAAGGGTCTTGTGTTTTCCTTCTTCACTCCTTTCATTCACAGCTGCACTTGGATCTGGGAAGGCACACAGGGTTGTCACAGACATAATGGCTTTTGCCTGTGGGCTGACCCTACGTGAGTTCATTGAACATTTGGAGTCATGCTGGGCAAAAAAAGACAGGGGATGCTCCGTCCCTTCCTTCAGGCCTCACAGTAGAGCCCCCCAACAAAACCAGGCTGCTGCATACAGCTGGATGGACATGCTGACCCAGAAACTAGGTTTATCCTCAGAAGGTGCTTACACAGATTCTAATGGACAAGGTTGAAATGAAGTGAAAGAAAAGACGGTCAAAATATTGAGGGGTGAAGAGGGGGGGGTGCTCTGTTGAACCTGGAGAATCATGCAGGGAGATAAAACGGGATTAGAAGACGCTTAAGGCCAATGAAACCTTTTCAGTTGCTGACTCTGTGGTGCCTATGACCCCATTTGCGATTTGGACCTCACCAAGCGAAAGACTGAAGTATTTGGGATTAGCTTTCTGTGTCAGGTGGACCGCTCATAGAGAAAGGCTGATTACATCCTCGCTTAGTTCCTGCCAGGAATCTCGGTCACAGCACTAGCTAACATTAGAGTGATAAGTGGAACTCATTATCGTACTGCCCTTCATTCCCAGACACACCCAAATGGGTTAACAAGCTGAAAACAAATCACCAGCTTCTTCAGCTGATGCCACTGTGTGCAGTGTCAGCTAAAGAATACAACAACAAAACTCAGGGAAGGAACTTAGGATGGCAAAAGTATCTGTACATAAAAGTGGGGGCATCACGTCTGGGAGGAAAAGGTGACTGGGTGCAAAGGGCCTAGAGGCTTATAGAGGCTAACCACAATGTCCTGGGGGGTCTGGTTGGAGCGTGGTTGTAATTTTTTTATGCTGTGCAGGAAACCTAGAATTATCTCTAGGTATCTACAGATACCACTGTGCCATATGTGTTTGATATATTAAATATAACTTATGTAAATAAAAAATATTATATGAAAAATGTAAAACATATTTGTGTACATTTATTTTGATTAGCTGCCATGCTAACATTTCTCATTTAAGTAGAAATATCAAAATGACTAAAAAAGGAATGAAAATACATAAAAGCAAACAACAATATGGTATAATGTTACATGATTGTTTAATTAACAAAGAAAAATAGAACTTAAATGCCATAGAAAAGTAAAAATGCTGTTAATATATATATATATATATATACATATATATATATATATATATATATATATATATATATATATATATATATATATATATATAAAGCTATCAAATACTGTGACATTCTTCTAGTACAAGTATAAACTACTGAAAAGTACAGACTTGTGGTAACATGACTAACTGGTTATATTTAGCAACAGGACAGTTTTGTGTGGCGGATGCTATAATTGGTTTTATGTTGATCACAAACTTCAAAATCAAGTGTCTGTATTTTATCTTTATGCTAATGCGTTCCTTTTTTTCAGAGACCGACAGATCATTAGATTTTTTTTCTGCTCAAAAGCTGCATTCAACCTATTTTGCTGGATAATTCCACCACTTATCACAATTCATTCGGCATTAATTCCCAAGGGTGAACCTCAAGAGAAAAGAGACCAGATGGAGAAATAAAAGGTGGAAACAAACAAGAACAGTGTCTGTGACAAACAACACACTAATCTTCAGTCAAGATCTAGTTGCGCCACAGCTTTGTGAAACTTTTACTTGAAAAGTGACAGTACTCCTACCGAAACGTAGCATAACTAATGCGACATCAAACTTTCATAGTTATTTTTCTAAAATAAATCTGTAACCGAATCCTGAACTTCTTTTCAAAGCTGAACTGAAAGTGAACTCAAGCATAAGTTTGAGCAGCACAAACTCACAGCGCTCTCGATGCTTCGGGCCGTTTCACCAAACAGTTCCGATTTGGGGTCCTCCATCTCAGGCGTGTAGAAGACCTCCTGACCCTCAACCTTATCCAGGTGCAGGAAGCCGCTGAAACGCATGGTGGCTGTGGGGCAAGGCAGGGAAGTACATATGGTTATATAAAAGAGACAGTGCCAGTCCACTTAGCTACTGTACACGCACTTGTGGTTGGTGCAATGCAAGTCTGTAAAGTTAGTGATGGAGCCTTTGTGGGGTTAGTCGTGGGGGAAAGCGAGTTTTATTTGCAGTGAAGGTAAACGTATTGGGAATTATGTGAGAGTATGGATGCTTGAAGGGAGGATGGACTGGAGTTTACCAGACCGAGACTCTTCCCAAAAGCTGGCATGGAGGACTGAGTGGAGAGAGATTGGTTAGACAGCGACACTGACATACATAGCACAATATATCACAGATATTAGGTTAAAAGACACTTTCATATGCCCTGACTGGGGTCAGGTCATCATTAAACATTCCTTTAAGGTTACGGCTGACCTTTCCCATTGACACTAATAAGGGGAAAGAGTGAGAGAGGATCAGAGACGAGCTTTTACATGACGAAGAGAAATAAATAATGAATAAACGACTGGGGGAGAGCGGGGAGCGGGCCTGACGCTGGGTTCTGTGCAGCATGTAATCAGCTGAACAAATTGCCCAAATCAATCATGCCGGCCGGGCTCCAGCTTGGCTGGGACCGGGATAAGCACTTGTATGATTATCATGAAAGATAGCCGTAATTGTCTTCTAATCCCAGGAACGGCTGAGTGACAGAAGCTGGTTAAAACTGCATGATAAGGGTCTTTTTGCACAGACACACATCAGCTCGTATCTGATGGGACTTTCAAAAAGGAGCAAATGGGGGAGATTTGAATGTGAAGAGAGATGGAGGGAAACAGCGATCGGATTCGAAATCGGAAACATCTGAGGAAAGGAATTTCCCACGGAGCGCAAAAAGACATGTGGGGAAATCGGGCTTTAGATGTGGATTGGAATTGAAGTCCACAATACGGCTATGGTCCATCATTTCTAGCGTGTGCTCATTAAGAAAAAAAACATCCTTATCTTTGGTTACAAAGCGTCCAGATGGCGCCCTGTTGTACAATGAGCTATATAATTTTAATTTGCACTAGATATGTAAATTCTTTCTTAACTAATATTTTAAACTTTTGTTCAGAGCGGTGGGGTGGCGGCATCTAAGACCCCCTAGTTTACATTACACGCTTGCTTTTTAGGGGACAACATTGGAGAATAAACACTAATTGTAACAGTAGCGTAGTATAACAGTCTATTATAAAAGCATTGTAAAATTAATCTTTTCCAGGGTCCAAAATTATTTTTTTAAGCCCAACTGAAAACAATTTGAACATTTATATGTATCCCTTTGCACAATGCTATATTTTTAATTATTTAAAATAATAATATTAATTAAATAAAATTAAATAATGAGGTAAAATATTACATTTATATAGCGCTTTTTTAGACACTCAAAGTGCTTTTCACATTGGGGTAATCTTCTCTTCCACCAACAGTGTGCAGCATCCTCCTGGATGATGCGACGGCAGCACCAGACCACACACCAGCTGATTGATGGAGAGTGATGAAGCCAATTATAATATGGTATTGGTTAGGAGGCCATGATTTTTAACGACCACAGAGAGTCAGGACCTCGGTTTAACGTCTCATCTGAAAGACAGCACTTACTCAGCAGTCCCCTTCACTATACTGGGGTGTTAGGACCCACACAGACCGCAGGTTAAGCGACCACCACTGGCCCCACTAACACTCATTCCAGCAGCAACCTAGCTTTCCCATGTGGTCTCCGGTCCAGGTACTGACCGGGCACAGCCCTGCTTAGCTTCAGAGGGAGACCATGTGAGAGTTGCAAAGAGCTAGCTGTCGACAATTTAATGTATATTTTAATAAAAATGCGATTATAAACATACATATGAGTACAGTGTTAGCCTTTAAATTGAAGTATGCATGTCACTTCTATTTACATTGACAAGTATTTATTTTGAATCCAAAACCAAATCTTGGGCTTTGGATTCATTAATATCCACATTGTCATATCAGTTATAATCATGGCAGATTCTGCACAGGCCTAGTTAAACAACACTCTCTATCACTACTTTAGGTCAACAGGGAGTGAATGACAGTTTGCTTCTCTCAGCCTTTCAGGAAAACACCTTGATATGGGCTTCTCCTTCAGACAGTAGAGTTTTAGCTGACAGCAGACACTGAATGCCATGGACATTAGCGCCCTCAACATCCAGCTGCTGTGACACATCGCCAATAAACGGTGGGGAGTTACGAGCCCCGGCTGACGGATATGAGAAGAGACGTGAGCACTTGACCTAGTGTTCCTATCCAGAGAACACAAAACATCTGCCTGCTTCTCCCTGACTGTCGTGTATTGATTAGTCTCTATTGTGTGTAATTTCTGCTCTTATAAAACAGATGGGGCTGCTGCAAGGGAAAAAGGTTTGTGTGTGTATGGACACATCTGGTCTAATGCCAGTCACAACACATTTCGGAGAATTGGTTTATCCATTTGCTACGGTTGCTGAGAGACACGGAACCTGCTTCCCTGCATCTGGCACACTCAGGGGCCAAAATTAACACTTTGTGTAGTGTTTCCACAGTATGGATAAACGAAGTGTAATTTTTTTCTTTAAAGGGGTGGTAAAGAGTGTACTTTTAAGGCTTGGTTGTGTTTGTAAGATGCAAAGCAGAGTGTGCTCATGCTTCATTTGAAGAAAAACACATCATTTTTTTTCATATATCACTTTACCTTTTAAGATTTATATTTAATAGCTGGACATTTTTAATCATTTAATATAGCCAAATTTGATATGCTTGCTTATTCTTTTATGTATTTTTTAATATGTACAGGCTACTTTATTTTCATTTAAAAAGTAAAGACGTGAATTAACTGTGAAAGTAAAAAGAGCGTTGAGCCTCCACTGAGTTTAGTTTAGGCCCTCATTTTTAGTTTCACCTTTGCAGTCACATTTGTGTTGTTATATCGCTCAGACATGTCATCGGAGAACGTTTATTAAGTTTCAAATGATTCAAAAATATCTTAAATAACTTCCGAATCTTCCTCTCTATGTTAGTAAATTAAAATATGATGTTCGTCAAAATTTTTTGAAATTAATAATTCATTCCTTTACAAAAAAAAAATTTCATTAAAAAAAGTTTAAAAGTTTCCAGCAACGTATTAAGCAAATGGTTTTCAATATTTCGTTTTTTTAATGAAAAAAAACTTTTCTAATGTTTTCTCAAGACAGTTATGGCGGTAATGACACATCTTAAAACTACAGCTTCTTTTTCACCCATGTATTTTCTTTCAGTTCCTGATACCAGCCAACTGCTGAATAACGGGCACATTTTACAAGCATTTGGCGCATCACAAGAGCTAATTTTGCACCCTGGGCACATTAAACTAACATCCATATGGCACGCTTGAGATAATATACCCTCATCAACTATAGTTTCCTCTGTTATTACCAGCTCCTCCTCCTCACCATCCTCTCAATCTTTCACCAAAAAAAAGCTTAGTCGCTTAGCTTAACAGCTTAGTCAGATCTATTTACACAGTTAATAAACAAACACGTGCTGTCATCTGTAATATAAAGTAAGTGAAACCTGTTAGGCAGTGATCATCAAGCACTTACATGGGCAGTTTGTGCCCTCTGAGTTGACGGCGGCCGTCTTCCCATCGGGACAGCAGCCGAACGCTGTGTTGTCACAGGACGATCGCTCCTCAGCTGTGGGAAGAGTGGTAGTAGCTACTGTTGTACCTGAAGAGAGAGATGAAGACGTCACCCAAGCACTTCTCCAGCTTGAACTGATATCTCTATGTTTGGATAATTGCTAAAACAATTAACGTGTCAAGTTGCGGAAAAGGAAAATTATGGTGTAAATAATTACAGAGGCAGACGGCTCTATGGCTGACTCTTTGATTTGCAGTAAACCATTTGTGAAATGACTTTTTTTTACATCTTTCTTGATGCATTCTGACTTTTAGGAAAACCTTAACAATAGCTTGTTAAAACTCTTCTCACACCTACAAGTATGTATATTGTGGATTATGACTGTGGGCTGAGGCAAAATATTTTGTGCTTGCCAAACAAGCCATAAAGCCGACAGATGTGGCTCTGTGAGTATGAGAGAGGCAGCGTGTGAACGAGATAGTGAGAGGTGGAAAATGACTTTTGGCGTAGAGCTGGAAAGCATCCCTGGACGTCTTTTCATTGGCAAATTTATGATCCGCTGGCCCAGAGGTGAGCGCCGGTCGACCCGCTGCTTCAGCCTTACAGGCGATTGGTTCAGAAAGTCATCAGGAAGTCCCAAGAGAGGCCTCCAATTTCTGTGTCAGACAGACTTCATGTGTCCTATGTCAAAGAGCCCTTCGGTCCAACGGTGACAAGAGAATAAATCTGAGGCCCTGCTGCTCTCTCTCAAACCATTTAAACAGTGTCTGTAGAGCTTACATTAGCTGGAAAAAATAGCTGGTTTGCTTTATGTACAGCATCGTGCTGGTGAAGGACACAAAAACACGTAAAGGGATTGAAGAATTTGTCTCTTGTATGTCAACCGAGGGAGTAGCAATTTAAAAGGTGGCTGTAGTTGAGAGAAAAATATGAGTTTTGGGGCTATTACAGGCTATGTCTGTTAGTTTTCTGTGCTGGTTTGCTGATGTTTGGCAGCTGATCCAGATATTGAAATTCTGGTGAAATCCATTGGAAATAATCAATTTTAAAATTATTTTTGGAATTATAACTTTCCTACTTTGAGCTGCTTGGTAAGTTAAATGGAGTAATGGCCCATTTCCACTGTCGTTTCCTACGGCACGATTCAGTTAGCTATGCTTTTATGGCCATTTCCCCTGTCAGAATGTACCAAAAAAGCTAACCATACTGTATCATTTTTGGGGTACCAAAAGGGTACCTAGCACAACAAAAGGGTACCAAAAGGTGGAGCAAGACGCGCAGCTGAACACTATTGGTTTACAGAGATACGTCAGTAGTTCGTGCACAAGTCAGAAGGATGAAAACAAAGGAAATGCCATTTTTAAAAACAAAGCGAAGACATTACACCGTGATAATACATACATATAATAATGAGCCATGGTCGACCCAAGCTTAAACAAACCTTGTTTTCATCTTGATGAACAGCCACAAAGCCAAGAGCAGAATCTACCCTGCGGCCCGTAGTTGTATACAAGACGTCTAAATCGTGAGTGGTTTCGCTTTCTCGCATGCGTTCATCGCGGGTCTATATTTGAAATAACAAACTTCTTGAGCTGCTGATAATAACGTGTACATTAATACTGAAGTGCTTCTGACATCTGATCCTTTGAGAAATGGACAAAGGAAAAGTAAAAAAAAAAGAAACAAATGACTGTTTCAGCAACCTAAAACATGAACAAACTGCCATGTTTAACTATAATCATCACCTTTTGGACTATTATGAACTCTGAATGACGGAATTACTTTTTAACAAGAGGTTGCATGTGCTGGTAAAGATTAAAGATACAGATGAGAGGTTTGCACTGACTGTGGGCTATATTTTGTGTTGTTTTTGAACTAAAAAAAAAACTATATGTATGTTGTGTGTAGTTTTCTGTAATTGGGAACATCTGAGACTGTAAGGGTCTCAATGTTTTTATATATGTTGCATTTATTTATTTATTTTATATAATTGCAGACGTTACAGTAGGCTATTTATTTTTTAGATCATTGATCTACAGTTATAATCAAATCAGGTTCATAGAAAGGTTAGTAATGACATTTATACACAAGTATTTATTTGTATAAAGCCTCTGTTTTGTGAGAAGGGCTTCTCATGATTTGTGAACAACCCGCACAACTTTACTGTAGACATTTCCTCGCGCGAGAGTGTCATCGACTGAAACATTCTATCGTACACCACGCTCACCATTGGTACCCTTTTGGCAGTGGAAATGCAAGCCTGATAAAGGTGACCTGTACCGTACTGTACCACGCAGTGGAGATGGACCATAAGATATATTTCAGTCTTTAATTGTGTGAATGTCATAATTTGTGTTATGAAATAACCAGTTTTATTATAAAATAATTTATTCTTTCATTCACACTTTGTTGCATGTAAAATACTGTAAATACACTGGCTGTGGATGTTAACTACTCTGTACATTCACTACAAAGCAATTTTGGGTTTAACAGATGTCTAATGAATGTCTAAACATAATTGGCTTAATATAATAAATGTCTAAAAATAACTCAAAAACTAGACTAGTCATCAAATACACAGGTTAGACAGACTTCCCATGTGTAGTCATTCATTTCTATGTAATTGACGACTAGTTTAGTTTTGGGCTATTCTTAGACATCTAATACATTTTCACTGACAATCCAAATTAAGCCTTGTTTTAGCCAAGCTGTCTATGTTTAGACATCCAATAGATATCTGTTAGACTTATTTTAAACAACACAATTGCTTGCTGTGAATGTATGGTTTCAAACATCAGAACAAAAGGTACAGTTACTCACAGTGTTTCTTGTTTAATTGCAGGTAAACCATAAAACAGTTTACTTTTTTATGTGTTTGGGTTCTGAGGAAAAACCAGTTGAGAACCACTAACTAAAATCGACTGTCTACTTAAAAAATGCCTAATTTTCTGCTAAACTTTATTTTAATTTGCCAACAGAGGGAAAAAAACTCAATTTAAAGAAATCTTTGAATATACTGTACATTTCTTCATTTTTATTCCTGACTAAGCAAGTACAGCTCAGAGAAAAGAAAGGACTAGGTGTTGTATCGACTCTATCTGAAATGGCCTTTTCGAAATGGCTTACTCGTAAGGTTAGGCCACGTTAAAAACTGAAGCCAGTCATTTTGGGGAATTACTCACTGAAGTGATTCCGAATGAAATTGCTCACTTAGCGGTTGGATGTCAGGTGTCAAAACCTCTCCAATAATAATGGGAGCTGAGATAATGGGCGATGTTAAATTGATATGCCATTACATTTCGAGTCGAGGTCATCTGGCGTGCAAGGTCAGTCCATACAAGGGAGAATTTCATCATCGCATGTCATCTGTTCTTGACAATTATGCCTAAACTCTCTTATAACTAAAAGATTATGGTGAATGCATTACCAAGTGGCTCTTCTCCGCTCTCCTCCATTCCGCTCACCATCTCATCATCCCCACTGGGCTCTCCACTGCCCGACTCGTCAAAGTCCAGAGGTGGGGATGAGGTGCGGAGTGGTTTGTAGGGTGTAGTGGGACGGTGGGTGGTGAAAGGGCTGGAAAACTTTCGCGCTCCATCCAACCTCGGTGGAGGCATTGCCTCCACCACATAGCTGTCCGGAGTGGTGGTGCGGTGGCCATGTCGCTGTTTGGTGACCTTGACGTGAGCGGTGGGAGGGGTGGTGCGGTGGGTGGTTGGGAAGGGGGTGGGTTTGGCCGTCAGCTCAATGGATTCTGGGAGAAAGCAGGAATGGAATGATGGGTAAGCATAGATGGAAATGTTTCTGCAAGCCTTCTTTCTTCTCTTTAAATTCTACCTACACCCTCCCACCCCTTCCACTTTGCCATTAAATCACAACAACAATAAGAATAACAAAAATAAAAAAAGACAAAGAGTGGTCTCGATGGGGCGTCTTTATTTTGAGAGATGCTTTGTATGCCTCAAAGATTTATATCAAATTCAGATGCATGGAAACACCAGGAATAAACCCACTCCTGCCTGCAAAAAGTGCTGCGTTTCAATCATATCACTTAAGCTTCATTACACCCCAACACCTGAACACCTGCAAGGAGCCCTCTTTTGTAGTCAGACAACAAGGGCTTAGCCTTAGAGGATTACTTCACCCTAAAATGAACATTTTGTCATTTATTTGAACCTCATGTTGTTCCAAATCTGTATGACTCACTTTTTCTGTGGAATAAAAAAGGGAGATTTTGAATCTCCTGGTTGCTCTTTTCCATGCACTTGCAATGATTTGTAGTAGAGCTTTTAGGCTAAATCACCATAAAAATGCCTCAAATGACTAATATATTCTATGAGTTAAATGTGTATTATGGGTTTGTGAACAAATCATTCAAAGTAGTTTAGTGAGCTAGATAAAGAGATTATTAGATTTTTTTAGTCTCATAAATTCTAATGAACACTATTAAATATAAAGGTTCTTTTTTGCCATCACTGGTTCCATAAACAACCTTTGATATTCATAGAACCTTTTAATCCGACAAAATTTTGTTTTAAGTGACTTTAAATCACTTCTTTACTTTAAGAAAGAAATGGTTATTCAAAGAACTATTCATTTAAAGTTATTTTGGGTAAGACAAAATATTTTGATTATGGAGAGAGTAATTTTTGAGTGAACATACCAAAGAAAGTTAGTGTGTACTGATAAGATTGTCAGTGAATAATGAAAACGAACACACAAAAAAAATAGTAATAAACTATGTCATCTGAAACCATAGGTTTCAACACTGAGATATGTCAAAAAATATCTATCTATCTATTTATGTTCTACAGACGAAAGAACGTCAGCATTTTCAGTTGTGGGTGAAGTGTCACTTTTAATTTTGCTGTAGTGATTCTGTGCTTTCAGAAGACACACTCTTTTTTTGTCATTTCAAAGTTAAGCACTCATTCACTGTCATTACACTGAAGAATAGCAGCAGGAATTTTCTTCAAACTGTACTTTTTAAAAAATCAAACAGTCTCAGAATGACACAATAGTAAGAAAATAACAGAAATACTTTTTTTAAAAACCAAAAAAAAAAAAAAAAACTATATGACTTTAGAAGTCTTATGTGAATCACTTTCATGATGAATATACAGTGTACTGTATGTACCTTTGAAGCAAGACAACCCAAGTATTTATTCATTTTCATTTTACTGAAGAACAGTGGCCAGAATGTTCTTCAAACAAGTTCAAAATGACAAAAGAATGCAGAAATAATGACGCAATATTCATTTATATGTGAACAGTCCCTTTAAATTTAGTCTGTTTTAAATACAAAACTGTTGCATGGCTTCATACGAACCCCTTTCATGATATTTGTGTTTGTGTGTGTGTGTGTGTGTGTGTTTGTGTGTGTTTATTTTTGAAGCTAGGCATACCAAGTCTTGATTTGCATTCATTAAACTAAAAAAAAAAAAAACATTCAAAAGTAAGACAGCTATGCTATGACACCATAGTGAAAAAAATAATGATGTAACCTTCATTTTTGTCTGCGCTATCCCTTTAAATTACCCACTAAATTAATGAACACATGTAAAAAGAACCAAGCTGCTCCTTGGCTTCTTTCTGATGTGATTCTTTGAGGTTTTTAAAAGCTCGCTTTTCCGCAAGCTCAAACCGATCATTACACAGACTCTTGACCAGAAGTGTTTATACACTACTGGCTTAGAGACTGCAGAATACGGCTGATCTGTGAGAGAGTGCGCTTGTGCGTGTGAGAGAGTGCCTGTAGATATGAATTATATATACATATTCAGATGTTGCCCTCCTGTAGGGAGGCTTTAATCACAGACAGCCAGAGCCTCTAGTGATGAATGATTGATATAAATAGGGCAGAAAAGCAGGGTTTAGCTGCAGCTTCAAAGGAAGCCCTCACTTGGTGCAGGCATCCGTCGACGCTCCAACCACCGCAGCCTTGTCAACACGCTCACAAACCTCTCCACTGCAGCAGATGAGCTCAGACTTAAAAAAGACATTACCAAAGCTTCTTCAAAGATGCATATTCTCTGATAAATAAGTAAGCACTGCTAGGATAATAACAATAGTAACTGTGGCATGGACGATTGGAGGAGCAGATTCCGCCACAATAGGGACCGAGGGATCCACACGCTCAATCATCCGTGTCTTTGTGCTCAACTTTAGCGAGTCCCTAGCGTACAGGCTAACCTCGCTTGGACGGGAACCTGATAACATGCTAGCGCAGGCTCTTAATTACATGCTAATCATCTCGCATTTGAACAGCGAGTAGCTGACGAGGTGTGAAATACGATATCTTACAGAAATACTACATCTATCAGCCCTGCTGTCACAGTCTGAGAGGGAGCGGGTGTGTTGATACGCTAGCATTGTGCGGGAGAGCACCGATGCTATCGGCGTGTGTCATGGCATGCGTTTTCCTATTTCGACTTGGCTGCACCTGCCATTCAGGAGCTCAGTGTAGCGTTAGCTCCAAGTGAGGGAAAGGAGAGATCTGGGGTGTGGGCTTTTGAGTCTCCCGCCCCTGCTTTGGGGTTTTGTGACACAAATATGTACGTTGAAAGAGAGCGACTGGCGACGGGAGCATTCAGCTCGGCTTAATCAAGTTTAACGCTCCATTTGGTTTTCAGAGAGGCAGGGTGCACAATTAGGAGACGCAAAATCATTGTCATCTTCAGCCGCCATAGCCGTATACTTATTCTTGAAAGGCTGTTATTAAGATGGCTTTCTGTCTTTTCATACAACACTGTGAGCGAGTGCGCAGTTTGGGGCGGAAGGGAAGTTGAAAGATGCAGAGAGAAAAGCCGATAAACTATGAAATGAAAGGGGCAAAGGACATTGTTCAGGATTCAAAACAAGTTGAGTTCTATCAACAATGTGATGTAACTGCAGAAAATAATTGTGTCCTTCAGTTTGCAAAAACAAGTTTAAGACTTCTACAACTGGTTACACTGAAAGTTTTGTATCTCTATGATGATAATAAAAAGATATTAGTTAAAGTTATGTAAATAAAATTAAATAATAAATGATAACCTTAACTTTTCCTAATTTGATTGTAATGCAGGATTGTATGTAACCCCGCCGGCACCTTTCCACATGGGAATCAGTTGCTCTACCAAGGAGGCTAAAGACCATGGACTTTAGCGTCTGTCACTAGAGCACCTTTAGGGGTCAGAGGAGTGATGTTTACCTGCACAGCAATTCATTAGCTGGCCTCTGACACACTCACTCCCACAACCTCATCTCACTCCCTCACAACCTCACTCCCATCCGTACCAATCTAACCCCGCCGGTCCTACACCAGCCAACCTGCTCTAAGCTGGGATCGAACCGGCGACTTTCTGCATGGAAGTTGGTTGCTCTACCAAGGAGGCTAAAGACCATGGCCTTTAGCTGCTGTCACTAGAGCACCTTAAGGGGTCAGAGGAGTGATGTTTACCTGCACAGCACTTCACAAGCTGGTCTCCGCTACACTCACACTCCTAAATCTCACTCCCATCTGGGTCACGACACCAATGTAACCCCGCCGTTCCTACACCACCCAACCTGCTTCGAGCTGGGATTGAACTGGCGACTTTCCACATGGTCCTCGGTTGCTCTTCCAAGTGTGCTAAAAACCATGGCCTCTAGCATCTGTCAGTAGAGCACCTTTAGAGCTCAGAGGACTGGTGTTTACCTGCACAGCACTTCACTAGCTGGCCTCCACTACACCCACCCCCCTAAACCTCAGTCCCATCCGGGTCACTGCACCAATGTCATCCCACTGGTCCTACACCACCCAACCCACTCCAAGCTGGGATTGATCCAGCGACTTTCCGCATGGGAGTTGGTTGCTCTACCAAGGGGTCTAAAGACCCTTTAGGGCTTAGATGAGTACGGTTTACCTGCACAACACTTCACTAGCTGACATCTACTACATTTTGAAAAGCTGCTTTGAAACAATATATATTTTGAAAATAATTTCAACTATGCAAATACATTTAATTGAAATGTCCAAATAAATTTAAATTGAATAATATAGGACACGATAGGCAATCAGAATTAAAATATGTACAGTAGCTTCTGTATATGGTGATTAATTTCCAACCAATGAGATTCAATGGGCTACACAGTGCATTGTGCTGTAATTAAAAAGTAAGCGATATGTTAAATTAAGATGACTAGTTAGAACAAAAACTATATTTTTAGACTCAAGGTCTAGCTGAAAATGCCAGTGTTCTTCTCAAAATGCATAGCTTTGGCAGTTTAACAGTGCTTCTACAGCTTGGTTGAGAGGCTTAGGTTGTTATGATCTGGAAATGCCCCTCCTCCACACTAATTGGTAGGGCTGACTAAAGTGTGACATTAAGACTCAGTGGCAAGAAACAAAACATGAAATAGGCTAACACAATCTCATCATGCTGGATGTTAAAAAATGCAGCACACCCATTTTAAACAATCGAAAATGTATGCTAGCCTGCGTTATTAATCTGTTGTCTGTTTAGTTGTAGGTTTTCTGTCTTTGTTTTGTTAGTGTCATAATTATATGTCAAAATCAAATTTCATATACAAAATGTGAGCTGTAAAGTTGTTTTAAACATTCTTACAGCAGTGCTACTACTAATGCAGTAGGCGGATAAAATCCAGGTTAGGACTTAATTCCCGTGGGAGGATTTTTTTCCTATATAAATAGTACCTTGAAGGGTTTACCGCTTTTACATGGTAATGAGAAGCTGAAAAATTGGATGTAAGTTTGCACAGACAAGGTTAGTA